AAAATTGGCTACATAAAAACTATGGTAGAGAAAGTTTGTGTTGTTCGACTAACTTCAAACAGTATTTATTAAAATACAAACTTGATCTAAAAAGGATTTTATTGTGAAAAAGGATAAACTGGAAGTATTGCAAGTTAGAGTTGTTACTGTGGTTTGGATTGGCTGATTTTCAACAGATGATCCCCCATCCACATCTTCAAATTAAACCAATAGAAAACTAACAACAGGTTTACGGCAATCTTCAAATGTAAGGAGATGGACTGACAGTAATTTTAGCAGTTAGCGTTAGCTTCCACAATTTTTTTTTATCCATTTAGCAGATTAGTGTTAGCATACATGTCAACCTCTTCAAACGGTTTACCTGTATAAAGAGCCTCAAAAATCTGTGAATTTTGCAAAAAATCAGTACAACTCGCACCCGCAGGGGGGTGGTGGTTGGCTGCGGACGTGAAAGCGCCGCTGCGAAGCAGGATGAAGGGAGAGCGGAAAAAGTTCAAAACTTATTTCTAGCGGCAGAACAGGTTGGAAGATGGCTGTTTGATGTTATTTATTGTTTTTTTTAATCATCCCACAGGCTCTGACATGTTAGATAATTTTGAAGATGAGGTTTTGAAAAAATTCGTGAGACTTGAAAAAAATCCGTGAGAGGTCTGTATACCTGTAAAATGACGTAAAAGCCTTATAATTTACAGACAATCCGTACAAGTTGACACGTATGTGTGAGCAGAGCTAAGATTCTTGTTTAGCAGATTACTGCTTAGTGAAGCTAACTTCTTGGTTAGCTGTGCCTACTACTGCCCAGCTGCTGTCTCAAGCTCTCAGATCTACTGAATCAAAAGACAAACTCACAGTTGTGTTCTTGTAAAAAAAAATCTAAACAAAAACTTTTTTTTGGAATGTTTGAGTCATCTTGTTTCATAAGTAAAAGACACGATTTTCCCGTGTGGAATGCTGCTCTGGGAGTCACTCAGTGTTTTCCAGCTGATAAGTGGTCCTGTTTTTTTCCAGATKACCCCCACCTCTCAGCCGTTAGAGAGAACGTTTGCTCTGGAGGAGGTGCTTCCTGTTCCCTCCATGGCCAGCTTCTTCCCCTGTAAGCTGTGTGGAAAGTGAGTAAAGACCAGTCTTATTAAGAGAAAACAAAATCCCGGTCTTTGTCTTCAGGGGGGGGTGGCGGACCAACAGATGGTTTGGATTTTCCACTTCATTTCTGTTTCTTTCCTCGCTCCAGAATGTTCTACAAGATCAAATCCCGTAACGCTCACATGAAGATCCACCGCCAGCCTCAGGAGGACTGGAGCGACCGGCGGCTGCAGCACCAGCTCCTCACGCAGCGTCTGGCCCTCGGCCGTCCCAACCACCTCATACCCAGCCCGGGAAGCAGTCTGCTCCCACCCCAGGCTTCAGCTCTGACGTTCCCCTCCTGYGGCCTCGCCTCGACCTCCAACAGCAGCATCCACAACTCTGTCACCAACAGCGTCGCTAACAACAACGCTGGCATTCTGGATCCTAGCGCTGCTGTGACGTACAGCAGYRTCRCKCCTCAGAACTCTCATTTAATCACCATCAGTAATTCTGACGGTGGAGACCGGAAAGATCCCACCTCCGTGTTGTCCTTCCACCAGCCTTGGGGCTCTTTTGGACCCTCTCAGGACCTCTCCACCTTCTACTGCCTCTCAGAAGGAAAGGAGGATGTGGGAGGCGAGGTCGTGGAGGGAAAAGAGGCCATCAGCTGGCAGTAGTCTTCCTCTTTGAGAAAAGCATTACGATCAAAGCCAAGTTTCTGTACATCAAACTGAGTGCATTTTAAATCAGACTTGTTTTGTATTCAAACTTTTGTACTTTTTTCAAACTTAAAAAAACAAACTATTTTTTTGAGTCCCTGYTGTAAAATTTGCCCATAAATGTGTAACATATTTAAATATTTGTCATACATTTACAGTTTAATAAAACTGTTGCCCCCTGTTTGTTTTTATTGTTCCTGTGCTCTCAAAAACTGGATGTAAAAACAAGTCAGCGAGCTTTAGCGATGCTATTAGCTATTGCTAAGCTAGCTATCTTATGTCTACACGCTAAAGTAAACTAACAAACTCCTGATTGTAGCTTCACATTTATCAGAATAAAAAAAGTTCTGCCGTCAGCAAAATAAAACGTACAACCTGATAGAGTAATTAGCTTGTTTCAAGCTTKATCTATGCTATGCTATTGCTAAGCTTGTTGTTTTTCTAGTCTTTTTTGTTAAACTAAGCTCCTGACTGTAGCTTTGTAGTTATAAGAATATAAATTCTTGTCAGCAAGTTAAAACATACATCATAAAGAAAAAATTACAACTGTCATGTTAACAAACTTTAGAGATGCTATCCAGCTATTCCTTAGCTATGAGTGTCAAGCCTTTATGCTAAGCTAGCAAACTCCTGATTAGGTTTGTATGTCAATCTAAATTCAGCACATTAAAACATACAACACAATAAAGAGGCCTGACCCTACTTCCAAAGTTACAAAAAAAATTAGCAAGCTTTATGCTATCAAGTTATTCCTAGACTAGCACTGTCCATTTATTTCAAGTCGTTATGCTAGGCTAGGCAAAGCTAAACTAAACTAACCAACACGACTGTGGCTTCATATCAGAATCAAATTGCAGCTCTTCTGTCAGCTAATTGGACAAAAAGAAACGTGTTTCCCAAATTTTGAACTATTTTCTTCAATTACTCCTCTTAAAGGGCACATGTCATGCAAAATCCACTTTTTTAGCTGTTAATTGTGAGTCTCCASGAGTGCAGAAAAGTTTAATTTAGCCTCTCCTGGTTCTGCAACGATACATCTTTATATTCTGTTTGGGTCATATTTTTCAGCCTGTTCAGTTTTCTCTTTTTTAAACGATGTTTTCTGAACAGAGTTGCCAAATAAGGTCTGGACTTACCAACTACAATTCCCTCATCTTCATTCTCCTCTGGTTCTGGGTCAGACTCTGGTTTTGGTTCTGGGTCAGACTCTGGCTCCAACATGAAAGGCCAGGTGGACAAGTCTTCTGTCGTTGACATATTTTAATTAATTTGTAAATAAAACGTTTCTGTAAGCTAGAAAATCTCTGTCAAACTGGAGTGGACCGGTCTTTAATGGGGGAGGGGATTGAAGCCAGTCGCGGCTGGTGGATTTTTCTCCAGGGGGGCCTACAATTCCAAAATAGGCTCATCTACAAAAGCAATCAAACATGTACTAAGTTGTATCACGACGGTGTATTTATTAAACAAATGACAATAAGAAAACAGCAGATGTCATGTAGTGTTTTATTTTTTGTACATAGATTTTACCCTTTTATAACTGAGAAACAAATTTCTTCATGACTGGTTAAAGTCAGGGATGTTTTAACAAGATTCTTCTCTATAGAGCATGGTCAGTGCAGTGAGATGTGATGTTGTACCTGAGGGAAGTCTGGATTCTCTTCTGTGTTCAGCTCCTCTCAGATTCAGCTGTGGTCAGAGGAGATGTGATGAGAATCTTCAGCAGAGTCACAGTCTCTGAAGACGTCCTGCAGATTGTTCTCCATTAAGAGCTGGTCCTGTTCAGCATTGGGTGAGCCTCTATGGTCTTCAGAGCTGCTTCAGAAAATTGTCTATGATCCTGCAGGAACCTGTCTGCCTGCAGCAGTGTAGCTCTGATCAGATGCATGGGAATGGCTCAAGATGATGTCATAAACCTAAAACAATAAATGCACAAATTTAATTCAATGTAGAGATGGCTACAAGTGAGCTTTCTAATATATAATTAATATATAGAGAACAATTAATGTTATTTTAATAGCAACAAATTATTGCATCTCTAGGGTAAAAACGTATTCATTTTATTAAAAAACAAAAACTATGCACAACAGAAGAAAAA